TTTCGAGCATTCAACGAGGAGCGTCGCAAGATTACAATCAGTTGGAAATTTCCAATAATGCTCCTACTAAAACTCGATGAGGAGATTGGAAATTTGTTTCAAGAGCCATCACTTTTCGGAAACCTACCATCGTCGGTTATCTTTCGTTTCTTTGTTTCATTGTTTCAATGTACTTTTAATTCTAGTGGTTAATTTATGCATATGAGAAACATCGTCCTTCTACTTTATTGTTTTCCTTCTTCTACTTTATGATAGCTAGGTGACTACTAGTTCTTTTTATCAGAAATTGCAGCGTGCGGGTGTGAGAAGCTCAGCTGTCAGACAGCTCGTTTAATAACACATATAGAATAGTGACTAGAACCGCTCCAAACCAACCAAGCCTCACATCCGTCGGAGCCAGCTGCCAGATTTGTGCAAAAAAGATCCATGTGATAAAACTATTTACAAAATTATGAAAAAAATCTATTCTTGAGGATGGACACAAGAATCGTATGTCGAGAAAAATGCCAGCTAGTACAGGGTTACTTAGTATTGTTGGTTTTCGAGGTTCTCCTGTTTCCTTGTGAATCCACAGAAATGTCCATTATCTGTAGTTGTCATTTACATGCAATTATCCTTTCTTCCATTCGGTTGTGTTGGTTTCTATTCGCCATCCAGTGGATTAGTATTCGACAGTGCTCCTGTATATCATTTTACTGCCATGAACAGATCTCTGTCTGACGAAAATGTCCCTGGATTATGTAGGCCTCCTTCGTGAGCATATCAATCGACAGCATCGCTATTTCTCTTCATAGTGACGGTGCACTTCCTCCTAGAAGTAAAAGATTCGTCCTCTTTACAGGTATACTACTTGCATGGCCAGCAGTATGCGTTGGTAGCGGTCGTTAGCTGGAGAATGTGGCTGGTACCTACTGTAGGATGCCGACATTTTGGTGCCACTTGAACATTGATTGCAACGCTAACTACTGTTGGAGAAAGACTCACTAGTACATCTCCTCTTGCAATTTTATTCGATCTTCCACATTTTGTAGAAGCATTTAAGAAACTACTGGCATATGAACTCTGAATTGTTCAGCTTAGGCGAGATTATTATAGAAGCTTTATTCAGCGGTCTTTTCTGCTTCTTTCTCGGGGCCGATGGTTTGAGTCGATGTCTTCAGTCATTCGTTTTCTTGATGTGGTGTCTTCGTTTTCGTTCCGAGGCGAATCGTCTTCAGTGGAGGGCCGCTCAAGTGAGGCAACCTCACCCATCAGCGCTTTTTTGTACAGGACGGCTATTGACTTATTGTCGGCACGCCAGAGTTAGGTGAAAGTCAGTTCAGTGATAGTGTCCGTTGATAATAATTTGTTTTTCGACTGATATCCATCCTGCAGCAGTGGGTATTATATTAGCTAGCACATAGTGAATAGCAAAGCAATATTTGTATCGTATCTGTTTCGAATCTACACTTACAGCGCTTTCGTTCGTGGCATATTTTTGTTGTTCCCGATGACTTCGTATTTGGAATGGACAAGCAAGGATGGAATATTGATTAGTGAGTCCACGTTTGTGCTGGATAGCTGTTTTGAATGTTGGAACGAAAATTTGTTATATGAAGTAGGAGGACGTTTTAGATAACCTCAACCAATGTCTCGGGTTGCCATGGCCAGTGAACTTCGTTTCACCAAGTACTCTGAGTCCTTTACCATCAGCTGGAGTGAATTTTGTTGCGAAGCAAATCGGAGAGTGCAATGATCCGAAATCATTGTAGATTCCTCCAAAAATAATGTTTCTACATTCTTAGTCATGCCTATTCGATCTCTTGCTATATTAATTACTTTTTATTTACTGCCTAATACAGTTCTCACCGCAGGGTATTATGCGAAATCAACCACAATGACTCTGAGATATTCTCAAAACATGGACCTCGGGCCATTGGACCAGGGTTCTATGCCGATGTGGGCTCCGCAGATCAATCCCGTTGATGGGTGATTGAGATGACACTGGTAGATAGAAAGCTAGCTGAGAGTAATGCAGAGCAAGGGCCACCGTGTATTAGTGTGAAATGCGCGTGCCCCCGAAAAGGGAAATTGTGTTTTGGTTTGGACCGGGGTCCAAGTTTTGCGAATATTTCAGCGTCGTTGTGGTTGATTTATTTCTATATTCTTGATAGCCAAGATATGACGTATACCTCCTTTCTTGCCCCCATTTTCAGTGTTTCTAGAAAAAAACATAGGATTGCAAAGGGCGCTTTCTTTTTCACTTGTGCATACCGAGCATCGATTTTTATTCGTAGCGGTTAGGATAACGCATCAGTTCATTAAAATGCGGTTAGATAAGTGACTCTTTAACAACTCTCATTTAAAGTCTGTGCCTATATCATTTATTTACTAAAACAGAATCCATATCTCTGTACAAATATTCCAAAGGTACATATGCACTAAGAGGTGGGGGTTCGAACATATGGGAGGCTAGTAAGGATACCTACAGTGTAACCTGTGTACCAGCAAACCTATGTGACTTGTTTGTCATGTTGTAGTATTTTTCAAGTTACAGATTGTTCTATCTCGGAAATATTATCACGAGGGAACAAGGTTGTTCTCGGATTACTTGTCGAATCCAGTAGCTAATATTTAGCAGATAGAACGTGTCCTTTGCTTCTGTCAGTTCATTGTTCTGAGGCATTGATACACAACTGGTATGCTCAGTCGAAGTGTTCAACTTTCCTACCTGTAAAAGTGTGGTACTATCAGAATGAGCAACCTATACATCCTTCAAAAGACTAGAGGAAGACCCTATTATTCGTTTAGTTTCACACAAACGAAAATTGTTCCACAAGGAAGATGATGTTATGAGCCGTGGGCCAGTCCCCTCGTAACATCATAGCTCTGAGGAAGGCGAAATCGCCGAGACGTTAGCCATCGACCAACAACACCAACATCGACAACAAGAACAACAATGACAACGACAACGAAGACCTATGCCAACTTCGCATCAGTTAAAGAGGATCAGTTTATAAGATCTTACAAATAAATACTTAACACACTCTGTCAAGATCACCTGTATCACCTGTAGTCCCGTTGATCGTTGAGTGACTCGAGCGGGCGTCGGTAAATCTTCGATTTTTCCCTCACGCGTGCAAGAGTAGCTCAGTGGGTTCTGCCCGCTCTAGGGACTCGTTTTTTCTCTTTCTTTTCTTTTTCTTATTTCGTTTTTTTTCTTTTCTTTTTTTCTCGTTTTTTCTTTTATCATATCTTTCTTCAACTCTCTTTATAAAGAACTCTGACCATCGAGTCGGTGGCCTTCCTGCAGTACGCTTGACGTCCCGAGGAATCCAGTCACTAACGGCTCTTGTCGTTGTCATTCATACGCATTACGTGTCCAGCCCACCTTATCTTCTACTGTTTGGCGTACAGAACGGCATCCCTGATTTTTGATCGTTGACGCAGATCGGAGCTTCCGATACCATCCCTTACTTGTGTGGAACGAGGTACTCCTAGCATCGTCCTTTCGACTGCGCGTACGATAACGCTGAGTGACCTTTCATCCTGCTTACGCAGCGACCAGGTTTCTGACGCATGCGTTAGGGTAGGAAGTACCGTTGAGTCGAAAAAGTGGAAACGGACCCAGGTGTTCTTTGTCCTCTTCACTACACCCAGATGCCCTTGAAGGCTCCCGAAGCCGCTCTATCCCTTCTGCTCAGCTCTGGAGCTAGGTCGTTGATCATATTGATTTCCCGACCTAGATAGATATAACTGGAGCATTCGGAGATATTCGTTCCGTTGAGCGTGAATGGGGCACGCGAAACCAATCTGTTCTTCATGAACATCGTTTTTGTGAGATTTAGTCGAAGACCAATCTTTCCACAGGCGTTATCGAAGCCGTCAAGCATACGTTCCGCCTGGCTAATGTTTGGTCTTATAAGGACGATGTCATCGGCAAAGCGAAGATGGTGTAACTGCCGACCGTCGATTTTCACTCCCATATTGTCCCATTCTAATGTTCGCATGACGTTCTGAAGGGGGTGCTAAAAAAATTTTGGTGAGTTGGTTTCACCTTGCCTAACTCGTCTTTTGATGTCAATATTAATGTCGTTGTAGAATGGTGACACATTGGTTGTGAAATTTTTGTACAGCTCACGAAGAATCTTTATGTACTGAGTAGGGACTCCTTGACTATCAAGGGCTTCCATGACTGCTTCTATCTCAATTAAGTCAAAGGCCTTTAAATCGATGAAAGTGAGACAGAGCGGTCTTCTGTACTCTGGCGATGCTTCGATGAGCCTTGTTACCGTGTGGATGTGGTCCATCGTACTAAATACTCTTCGAAACCCTGCTTGCTAACATGGCTGTCCTTCGTCTGGTGTTCTGTCACTCCTGCTTAGGATGACTCGAGTGAAAAGTTTGTAGACGACAGACAACAAGCAGATTGAGTGATGGTTGCCGATATCGTGCAGGTTACCCTTCTTGAACAATAACACGGTCTTGCTGGTCTTCCACTGAGTAGGGACCTTGCATTCAGACAGATAACGTGTGAAGAGCCGAGCCAGTGTGTTTACGAGAACTGGCGGAAGCTTCTTCAGGTGTTCTGGTCTTATCCTGTTCGGACCCGGTGCTGTTCGACTTTTCACCGACCAAATGGCATGTTGGATTTCGGAAGGGAGAACCGGTGGTACAACATGACTATCCTCCTTTATTTCATATGACGGAAGGTGGACGTAGCTATCGAAGAGATCCGAGTAGTGTTCGTGAATGATTTTCTCCATTGCTTTTTTGGACGTTGTAACTGTTCCGTCTGGGCGCCGGAGTGTAATCGTTTTCGTCTTGTAATTGGCGAAGCTTCGGTGGGCTTTGAATGCTTTTTCCAGCCTCTGCAGTTCTGACCAATACTGCTGCTCTTCTTTCTTTAAGAGCTTCCTTTATCGCCTGTCTGCATTGTTTTGCAAGTTCGGATGTTAGGCGTATTAACTCAAGTGTTTCTGGAGACAAACTTCTCTTGGTGACTTTCGAACTCTCAGCTTTCATAGCGCTAACGTGAAGAAGTTGGATGAGCCAATCGTATCTTCGTCGATGTTATCGATAACGGCATCTTGCCAACAGCCGACTAATGAAGTTCCCAGTTTGCGGTAGTTCTGCCACTTTGGTTTTTGGAATTTAGCGGCTTTTTCTCCTTTCCGCGAGGAATAGAATCTTGCACGGAGGAGACTGTGGTTTGACCCCGTGTAGAATTTTGGGACAACAGCGACATCGGTTAGGCGAAACCTTCTATTTACTATGATGTGGTCTATTTCTTTATGGAACTCTCCATTGGGAGGCTCCCACTTCCAGCGCTGAGGGTAGGGCTTCTGGAATTGCGAGTTATCATGGATTGTCTTAGTCGCCTTGATAAACTCAGGCAGCCGTTCACTCTGTTCGTTCCATTCTAATCCGTGGGTTGCAATGTGGCGTTCTTCAGACGTTCTTGTTGGTCCAATCTTGGTGCTGAAATCTCTAATGATGACCTTGAGGAATGCGTGGTCTTCTCTGTAGAACTTCTCAAAGTCCATATAGAACGCTTCGACTTCTTCTTCGTCATAGTTTGATGTCGACGCATAAACGACGAAGATTGTCAAAGCCGGAATTGATCCACGTCTTTTTAATCTTAAACATCCGCTTTGGGTTGTAAGCTGTTCGTATGAATCGATGTTCATGGACAAACTCGTGTTGACGAGAACGCCGACACCGCCGACTCATCTACTCTCGCATGTTCCGAGGAACCGTTCTTCTCCGGTGTCACAGACGGCGTTGAAAGGCTGGCGTCTCCTCGTCTGGGCCAGGCCGATGACGTCGTACCTTATCCTTCTTGCTTGCATGAGTAATTCTTCTATCGAGGACTCGGATGCAAGTGTACGTGCATTGTAGGTACAGATCGTCACAATAGTTCTTTGAAATCCAGGCAGCTTCCATTGGCCCTGAGATTTTAGCAGCCTCTCCGTATTCGTCCTACCCAACGCTCCGAAATTGGGAACTCTTTCGGGGTGAAGGGATGAGGCACGTTTTTTTTTACTGTGCTTGGCATTTTTTGATACCCACGTATAGCTTGCTGGGCTCTGAAGCTGGGGACTGGGTATGCTCACAGGTAGCTTGCCAGGCTCTCTAAGAGTGGACATGTAGCTTTTTTGTTGGAGGCTACTCCTAACCGTCTCTTATATACTTCTCAGTCACCCCACGCATACATGAATATGCCTCGTAAATACGGAAATGTGTTAAATCGGCGCAGCAGAAATCGGGAGTCCATCCTCTGGATCCATCTGCGTCTCAGGGAAGCAAAGGTCGCTTTTGGTCCGCGATTAACCCCCTATCCTCCACCTGGGGATGCGCCACGTCGCCTCGCCACTAACTGGCTCGAGATCTCTCATTTGAGGAAGATCCGTGGCTGTCAGGATCATGAATTTAAAAAGAAATAGAGTAAAAGAATGCGCAAATATCAAATGAGTGAAGGAAGAACTATCATACTTCGAAAAGGAAGCCGTTATATTTTTCATTGGATGTCAAAGAGCTTTTTTTGCCTGGCACGCAGATTTCATCGCAGAAACCTGGAGTGATGGACGATGAAACAAACAAACATTCGAACAGGCCACGATTCTTTGTCAGAACATCTACAACATGTAAAATATTTGTTTAGGATAATCAGTCACTAATATATGATTACAACAATGAATGAGGCTCAGGTTTTGTCTCGCAAATAACCAGATGCTACAAATAAATTTTAACGTATTATAGCAGATTACAGTTCCAAAAAATGGGAACTACTCAGAAGTCATTGAATGTCAAGCAGAAGTTTACAAAAAAAGCCACTTCTACATCATACAAACGAAAACTGACGGTGATACTGAATTAAAAGCCATTAATGAAGCATATGATCATATGTTTACCTTTATTCATACTGGACTCTACAAAAACGATTAGAAGACAGAAAGTTCAAAAAAGGTATCGTTGCCGGAAGACCGAAAATTGTCAGGAATTTGGGCCGTTCTAGAATCATAGGTTTGTTCAACAACGCTACGGCACCATGGAATACGACGACAAGTGCACACTCTCCAAACCAATGCCACGGATCTTCCTCGTACGAGGGATTTAGAGCCGATTAGTCGCGAGACTACGTGGCGCGTCCCCAGGTGGCGGATAGGAGGTTAACCGTGGACCAAAAACGACCCTTGCTTACATGAGACGCAGCTGGATATGAGGGAAGGACTCCATGTTTCTGCTGCGCTAATTTGGCATACAGGACCATAAATAGTAATTCGCAATTCCAGAAGCCACACCCTCAACGCTGGACGTGGGAGTCTCCCAATGGAGAGTACCATAACGAATTAGACCACATCATAGTACAAAGGTTTTGCCCAACCGATGTTGCTGTTGTTCCATAATTCTACACAGGATCAGACCATTGCCTCTTTCGTGAAAGATTTTATTCCTCGTGGAAATTAAAAAAGGCGCTAATTTCAAAAAAACGATGTTCCAAGACCGCAATAACTGGGACTTATTCAATTCTCTAGTAGGCTGTTGGGAACATGCCATTGTCAATAACATGGACTAGTAATGAGACTCGCTTACTCGACATCTTCACCTTAGCGCTATGAACGCTGAAAGTTCGAAAGTCACCAAAAGACGTCTCTTTCCAGAAACTCCGTTGATTCGTTGGCGTGAAGTCGCAAGAGCTGCGGGCAATCGCAACCTCACGTCCGAACTTGCAAGACAGTTAAGACAGGCGGTAAAAGAAGATCTTAAAGAGAGAAGAGCTGCAGTAATAAACGAACTGCAGAGGTTGGAAAAGCATTCGCAAAGCTCACCAAAGCTTCGCAGATATATGAAATAAAGAAGGATGGATATGTCGTACCACCCGTTCCCCCTTACGAAATCCGACATGCCATTTCATGGGTGAAAAATCGAACAACATCAGGTCCGAACAGGATGAAATCTGAACACCTAAAGAACTTTTCGTCAGTCTTCATAAACACACACATGTTTAAATGTTACCTGTCAGAATGCAAGGTTCCTATTCAATGGAAGACCACCAAGATAGTGCTAATGTTCAAGAAGGGAGACCTCCACGATATCGGCAACTATCACTTTGAGCAAGCAGGGTTTCGAAAAGGATTTAATGCGATGGACGACATCCACGCGACAACAAGACTCATTGAAGCATCGCTAGAGTACAAAAGACCGCTCTGTCTCACTTTCATCGATTTAAAGAAGGCCTTTGGCTCAGTTGAGATAGAAGCAGTCATGGAAGCGCTTGATAGTCAGGGAGTCCCTATTCAGTGCATAAAGATTCTTCGTCAGCTGTACAAAAATTTCACAACCAAAATATCACCATTCTACAACGATGTTAATAAGATATATAAGATATATACGATATATAAGATATGCGATATAAGATTGAAATCGAAGTGAGGAGTTAGGTAAGGCGATACCATCTCACCAAAATTATTTACCACCACCTTCGAGAACGTCATGCGAACATTGGTGTGGGCCATCACGTGAATGAAGACCGATGGTCAGCAATTACACGATCTTCGCTTTGCTGATGACATCGTCCTTATAACACCAAACATTAGTCAAGCAAGACGAATGCTTGCCGATTTTGATAAAGCCTGTGGAAAAATTGGTCTTCGACTAAATCTCCCAAAATCGATGTTCATGAGGAACGGAATGATTTCGTACGCCCCGTTCACACTCAACGGAATAAATGTTTCCCAATGTTTCAGTTATTATCCAACATGATGAACGAATGAGCTCCAGAATTGGGCAGGAGGAAAAGAGCCACTTAGGGAGCTTTTAAAAGTATCGAGGATGTAGAGAACAACGAAAGAATACCCATCTCCGGGTCCATCTTTTCGACTCAACGGTACTTCCTGCCCTAACGTATGCGTCAGAAACTTGGTCCTTGCGTAAGCAGGATGAAAGATCACTCAGCGTTGTTGAACGCGCAGTTGAAAGGATGATTCTAAAAGTATCCCGTGTCACACAAGTAAGGGAAAGAATCAGAAGTTCCGATCTGCGTAAACGATCGAAAATCAAAGATGCCGTTCTGTAAGCCAAACGGCCGAGGATAATGATTGATAGCTACGGCTTTAACGTTTACGTCAAAAGCTTCTAAACTATAAGAATTTACTAGCACAAAACGTAGTAATTTTTGAAAAGCCGGCTTTCTTTTAACTTCGGTACGACTGGTTAAAATGTGTTCAAATTACCGACCTTACACGATGTCTTCGTCTTCCTAAAAGTCGATGATCGGAAGACGTCGAAACGTTAGTCGGACAAAGTTTACTTATCAACCTTGTGTAAGGTTAACAAACCAAACAAAATGTTGACTAGTCCCACTGAGGTTATAGAAATGTCGGTTTCTGAAATATTATTACGCTCTATGCTAGCTAATAATGACACTGACTTCTTCAAGATGGATTTTTAAGCAAAAGCCAGTTATTATTACCTGAAAGTCATAAAGGATAAAGAATAAAACTCTTGGCATTGATCAATCCGTTTAGGGATGCGCCATACATTCGACTTCATTAAGCATCGCTTGGAGGTGATTGAATGCATATCCGGCCTTTACAATGACTAGCGGTGGCTCACCGATGTATCGAGCCATTGCTGCTATCTTCCCAGACAAGTCCGGCACCAATTTGCGGACTCCGGAAGGATGGAAGGCTTGGTGGCCCTTAGGCGCGAGTATCGATTCCATGTGTGTGTTGCAGGGCGCCTCCGACCATTGCGCCAAACACGCCATTGCCTGACAGTCATTATAGAGAACTTCTCCCTTGGAAAGTTCTCTTTCTAAATAATAGTATTTGAAGTCCATATATGGCCTCCTCGCACTCGCACTCGCACATCAAACACCGCAATGTAACCTTTTCTGATCTTCTCGATCAATTATGTTCAATGTTTCAGGCACAATAGCGATTCAGGTTTGACTTCAGTAGCATAGCGACGATGGAGGCGTAACCAAATGTCTCCACTTATCAACCTCGTATTAGCTTACCGCATTTGGCACAATAGCGATTCAGGCAGTTAGGTACAGTCTACTGCGGTCCAGGATCAACAATCCAGATTAACCGCGGTTGCATACGCTCGCGGCTCCCGCAATAAGCCAGGTGCCTTCGAAGGCGGAGACATGCCATCACTCACATTACCCTCGATCGGTAGCGCGGATTATCCGCTCCTCACAACCACATCCTCAATCATCCTCAATCACCTCAACTCATTCTTAGTCGTACTCATTCATTCTACTTCGATCACATTCATTCTCACATTCGCATTCATCATTCAGCAATCAGCAGATTATTGTATCTCGTTTCTCAGCTTGTCTACGGTGCGATGTCAGTAGTGGTGGGTGTTTCTAAATGCGTTCTGTTTGCAACGCCATCGGTGGCATGTACCATTCCTCCCACAATGTACGCCATGCGTACAAGGCCGGTGAGCCACCAACTTATGCTATGTATTCTGTTAAGCCGCTATAGGCTTATCAGTTTTGTAGTCACTTATCATACTGGCCCTTATCCTTAGGCAATGGTGGCACCCATCGATGCTCAAAGTTCACGTTGCTGACATAGCGTTATTCACGACCAGCCGCCTGACTGTGTTCCGTAGGTGACTCATCATTCACTGTCCATAGCACCGTCAACGCTCATGTAACTTACAGTCCTCATCGATTCACTAAAATGCTCCTCATCGCTATAATGTTGAAATCTTAACTTGGCCGAAACATAGCCAGTCTGTGACCGTCACCACCTCAGCATACTGTCTCCCTCTCCGCGACATACAGTCTCCTCCCTCTGCCCCCAGCATACTGTCTCCCTCAGCCGCAGCGCCGGCCGCGAATAGACGCGGCGCGGCATCGCTTACGGTTAAGCAAAGGCTACTTCGTTGTAATCTCATTATTATTGTTAATATTGTGTTAATGGTATTACAATGTTTGAATGCCATTGCCTCATTGTTAGCCTCACTTCACTACAGGCCTTAGCACCTCAGAGCTCTAACTTGTGTTATTCCTCTACCATTACTTCTCTATCGTTACTATCATGTTATTAGTGTTGTATTTATGTATTAAAGGTTTAATTACCTAAGTTTGAGGCTAGTAGATCAACTACAACAACTAAAAGACCCGCGTGGCTAATATTCTACATCAATCTGAACCGCTACACTTCGCCGCTAACCATTTCGTTACAGTCATAGCTGTAACAATAGTTCTGCAAAAGAGAGCATCGTCGTATGAGATTGCCTCATTTGAACGGTGTTCTACTGAAGAAGATTCGACTCGATACGACGACGATGACACCATGTCGAGAATACGAAGAACAATGGACATAGACTCTGATCTTCGGTTCTGTCGGAATATGAAGGCGTCGAATAAGGTTTACTTATCAACCTTGTGTACAGAGCATGCAAACATTCGCATATGAGAAGTGGTAGTTGGAGAGCGTACACATCGGAGAGAGACGGGTATTCTCTTTTAATATAAATTACCAAATTAGCGACAATAAGCAGATACCTTTATTCATGAATGTGTGTCCGCATTGTACGTCCAATCTGTCACTCTTTATAAACAATTTGTTTTGCATATAACTAACAGTGCGGGTGCGTGTGGCGCAGTGGTCGGAGGCGGCCTGCAACACACACGTGGAATCGATCGCTGTGCTCCTGGATAATCAAGCCTTGCATCTCCCCATGGTCAACAAATTGGTGCCAGAGTTGTATGGGAGAATAGTGGCACTGGCTCGATACGTTAGCAAGCCACCGCTGGTCATTGTAAAGGCCAGATGTGCATTCAGTAATCTCCAAACGATGCTTAATGAAGTCGAATTCATGGCGCATATATCAGGGATTGATCAACGCCGATAGCTTCTTTTATACACACTAGACAGTCGCTATAAGCGGAACAGTATGAATTCGGTGGATAAGAAGGACGTAGAACTGAGGCAGAAATACACTTTAAATTCCACAAAAACCATTGTGAAAAGGGGCTAGGAGGTGGCTACATTCCCTAAGCATTCAATTTTTTACCGGCATTTAATATTTTTTCAATATGTATACATAACACACATGTCCTAATGCGTGTTACTGAAATATATATATATATATATATATGTATGTATGTATACATTTACATATGCGTAAACATATGCGTATATTTTTATTCTGTTCTGTTTGATCCGTCTTCACGTCTACTGTGCGGATTCCAACATTCCTTACATTTGTTTCTTTTCCTCGCATCCAATGTCCACGAAGATCTTCCAGCTCTAGGTGTGGCTTCGGGTGCTATTTGACGTTTTGCACTTCATCTTGAATGTCGTAGAATGCTGGTCGAGCAATTCTCGTTGGGGTCCTCAAATAGCCGTGCTGGAGCGTTTCCATTTTGTATGCAGAAAGAGATTTTTTTCCTGCTCAAGTCCGGTACCAATGTCCCGACCCCGGAGGGAGGAGTGGCTTGGTTGGCCCGGAGCGGAATCGAACTAGCACCATATTCGTGGAGACGGACATCACTACTACTCTGTTATCCTCCCCATTATGCACATGTACGTTTACTAATAGTGCAGATTCGTCTCACTTATCTGCATTATTAGTAGACGCCCATATGTATATACACATGCATATATATATATATATGTGTACATGTATTTGTATCTGCATATGTGTATATACACATGTACACATGTTTTGCATGTATATATATATATATGTATATATATATGTATATATATATATTTATAACGCCTCCCAACGGTTTACCGCCTCATCGTGGCTGGGAGGTGTTCCTGGGTGTCGGACTGCGATGTACAGTGGCTGGATTCGTCCCACCGGCAGGGTTTTCCAAACTAAGAAGGAGTCCGGCGTTTCTATCTGGAAGTCTAGCTAAGAGTAAACCAATACCAGGATCCACCACCGTCCTGGTATCAAAGTTGCATGGTGGCAAATCTCTTTCTGATCCACAAGGGCTGCGACTTCCTGTTGCGGTGACGACATGAGGCAGACTTTGGCCAGGCTGACCTCGGGATTCCAGCTAACCACAATAGCTTAACCAGCGCATCACCGAAAAGTGATGATTATGCTGGGGCCCGCACAGCTAGTGAGGACGGGCCGTTCAATTATCAAGTAAGTAAGTATTTATAACTTGTCGGCTGCGTAAGATTTGTCGTCCATCTGTTCATTGTTCATGTCGTCGACTCATACCAGATCCTTTCGCTTCGCATAGCCGTCCTCGGTCTTCAACTGTCGCATCATAAGAAGATCACTATCATCAACTGCTACTCACCGATCGACGCAGCTGATGAGTACGAATTAAATGCGTTCTGCTATCAGTTGGAGGAAGTCTTCCGCAATGATAAAGCATATCATAAATTTGTTGTTGGAAACTTCAACGCCAAAACAGGAAAGACCAACGAGAGCGAATACAGAATCGGAAATTTGGGGTTAGGACAAAGAAACGAGAATGGAAACCGTCTCGCAGGACTGGCGGCAGCACGTCTCTTCCATGGAACTCGTTTTTCCAGAAGAAAGAAAGAAAGACGCTGCTGGACATGGGAGTCTCCCAACGGCATGACTTATGCGGAGATCGACCATATTCTGAAAAACAGAAGATGGTGCCTACTTGACACATCGGTAGGCTCGTCATTCTGCACTGGTTCCGATCACCGCCTTCTTCGCGCGAAGATTCGATTCAGCTGCAAGCTGGAAAAGAACTTTCTTCATCGACCACGAGGAAAAAATCGAGCTGTATACGACGAGAACATTCTGAACGAATTCCTGCCAAACGTGACTGGCAGATTAAAGAAAATCCGACCGAAGACTACGAGCTGCCTGTCGAAGGACTGAAAAGCTGTGCCGAATTAGCCTCAGTTCCTCAAGCAAGATCGGATTGCATCTCCATCACTATTAAGGAGTTGCTCGAAAAGAGAAGGAAACTGAGGCTTGGTCCTACAGTAACACATTTAACATGGCTAGTAATAAATGCCAGCTGCAGAAGAGCTTTGCAGGAAGATCTACAGCGGCATAAGCAGAAGAAAACACTGGAAGCAGCAAAGAAAATAAGCAGTCTGAAAAAATGCCGTGGGGAGTTGTGTGATTATAATGTTCCGGTGTCAGCCCTGTCGAACGAAGATGGAATTTTAACCCTTTTATTTACTGCCTTTTTCTTTTTAATGGCAGGGTATGTTGCGAAATATAACACGTATATAATGCTGAGATATTTCCAAATCTCCGGACCGCAGGTGTATGCGGTGGGGAACGAACTCGCGCTGTTGTCCTTACCTGGGAGCAGCGCACTTAACCACCACACCATCCGGGTCCTTCGTTTTGCCTGTCTCTCAGCTAGTTCTATCGATCTTTTTGCCATCAGCATGGCGAAGATGGGATTGTCAAAAATTCCTTCCATGATACGGAATTAATAGCGGAAACGTTCTACACCAACTTTTTTCGCTCCACGATTTTCCATTCCCGCTCCGGACCGTAATATCCCCGCTGGAGAAAAACCACCTGGAATTCTTCCGTCAGAGGTTCGAGTTGCGATAGAAAGCATGAAAAGAGGTACAGCTCCAGGATCCGAAAATATCACTGCTGATTTCCTTAGAGCTGGAGGCCACAATTTACATGTACTTCTCGTAGATCATGTGACAGCCTACCTTCAAAAGGAAAAAATCCCAGACCAGTAGAGGATGTCGCGCGCAGCCATCTTGCCCTTGAAAGGAGAAAGAAGGGACCTTCGTAACTGTCGTCCCATGTACTTGTTGAGTGTACTTTACAAGCTCTTCATGAAAACTATCCTCTCGCGCGTATGAAGGACATTGGACGAGGCGCAACCAGTCGGGTCGAGCAAGTAAGATTTTGTAAAGGATTTTGCTGCATGGACCACATCCAAACCGTGCCAGTGTCGTCGAAGTTTGTCGGGAATACCACTCGCCTCTAGTTCTAACCTTTGTCGACTACGAGAAAGTGTTTGACAGTGTCGAAACGAATGCAATCCTATCAGTGCTCGCCGACCAAGGAGTGGAGCCGTCCTACATAAGGACTCTGCCCGACTGTTATCGGAACTGCACTACGAAAATGCAGCTTTTCCATCGCCTTCTTACCATACCTATAGAAAAATGGGTTCGACAAGACGATACAATATCGTCAAAGCTGTTTAGTGCCGCACTGCAGTGGATAATGAAGTCACTCGATTGGGAAAAGAAATTCATACGTATTGATGGAATATTCCTATCAAACCTTCGTTTTGCCGACGATATGGTCATTTTCTCAAGTGCTAGCAAAGCAGAGATGATGATCAACGAATTCAGCGAAGCGGGTTAAAAGATCGGACTTCGCATAAATTGAAAGAAGACCAAGCTCATTAAGAACCCATGGTGCGAAAGCGAAAAAATTGAATTGGATGGCTCTCTCATTACAGAGACCACCTCGTACGTATACTTTGCGCGATCAATGAACATGGAAAACAACATGAAGGAGGAACTAGATAGAAGGACAGCAGCTTGGCCCGTATTCGGGCCTCATAAAGAAGGCACCGACCAACTGAAGGAACCGAAAATCCGCGCTCATCTCTTTGACTCTACGGTCCTCTCAGCGCTCCGTTATGCTGCAGAGAGGTGGGTTAATATTTCAACTACGTCGAGAATGCTTCGAACTACTCACAAAGAGCTTGAGCGATGTCTTCTGGAATATATCCAACACTCTCAATATCTAGCCGTAATGCGAATCTCTGACCTTCGAAATCTGTCACATCTTCGAAATCTAGAAGAATATAAATCGACAGCGAAACAAAGATGGGCCGGTCACATAATGAGAAGAACAGACGACAGATGGACGAAAAGAACAGTAGAGTGGACTTCAGAAGAATGCAAACGTCTCCTTTGACGAACACTTACACGTTGGGCGGATGTGTTCGTAAACAAAGTTAATCGGCTGTAATCGCAGCTGAAGTTGTTTTACAGACCACGGTATGAGACTCGCAAGCGCTATCGTGCTCGAACAATACTACCACCATGGACTACGATTGCGAGAGAAAGGAACGAATGGCATATATGCTGTGACCACAGTCCGCACAGCTCGTAAAGACGGACCGTCCAGGTATCTGAGCAAGTTTATATATATATATATATATATATATATATATATATATATATATATATATGACGCAGATAAATGGAGTACAGCTTGCTGGTCGTCTTGCACAAGAGAGTAGGACGCCTTCTGGTCTCTTGTACTCACAATTTTCTTTAGTTATTGCTTCCGACCAATGTTGGCTTTAACGAGTTGACACACAAGGATTCGAGAAGATTCTTAAATAAGTGGCATAACATTGCTAAGGAAGCCTACAGCAAATCTCACCGCTTACGAAACTTTTGATAGCTTCATCTTTTGCTCTCACCAAGACGAATCGTGGTTACCGCATGGAATCCAAAGATGTGTAGCAACGTATATATCCATAACAATAGCACAAAGCTTCTTCTAGAAACCTGTTGATATCACAACTTTTCAAGTACAATAATAATGGAAAAAGTGTGGAGAAATATGAATGACTAGAGGCCTTTCATATTCTCCGAAATTCTGCAGAACCCTAATAATCAAAATCTTTGCCGTCAGTTGTTGACATATCGATTATTAGTAAAGGAGAAATTGTATTTAAAGTACGCGGGCGAAAAAACCTGTCGTGGGTCCCACGTGGAAATTTGTGGCCATACGGTTAATTCGAAATTCAAAATTGTTCTCGAATGGTTATTCCACTAAATGCTATTTCCTGAAGGGATTCATATTGTTCTTTTTTTCTCTTTCTTGTGATCACTATATTAATACCCAAGTATAGAGGAGCGTTGACGTTTGAAAGCTTCTATAATAGTCGTCGTGCTCAAATAATGTGGTTACGACTATGGATCGGACCGCACCAATCAATATTTTTGAGGTTTTTGTTCTATGTGTTGCGTTGACTCCTGTTCCTTGAGCATATGACTTGCTAAAGTTCTCTTCTCATCATCACTTTCAATTCATTTGATTATTATTTTTATTCTTCGTCACTGACGGTACCACCAGCATGGTTTCCTCAGTGTGTCAAATGGAGAGAATAATGACGAACAGTTGAATGGTCAAAGCTCTTCTCGAAAACACTAAAATAATGAGATGAAGCTCGGTAGGTTTCTGAAGCAAGTAGCACCCGCAAGATACTTTTTCCCCAAAGGGACAAATGCGAGACTTCGCCGGCATATGTTGTTTCTACCACTATTTTCATCTACTATGCTACAAAATCCTTCTTCTTTTTCCATTAGCATTTGCGCAGGACCACCGCTATTACTGCCTGACTGGCGGAATACCTCTACCGGATGTTCGCCCTTAAACTATTATCCCGGTCATAGGCCTATATTGACCACTTGCTATATTTTACATGTTCAACCTTTCACAGTAATAAATAAGCATTGCTTTTCATTTGTGGGCGCCTCTCTTCTCATTTCATGTTACATTTCCATTTGAAGCTGACTCTTCGTAGTTAAGCTGTAGTTGAATGTGTTATTTGTTCGCCTTCAAATCTCATCATTTCGTCACACAAGCAGTTCGATCTCGTTGCCAGTGCTGTTCCCAGTTTTTCAGAGTATTTCTGCGTATTCATTTCACAAGAAACTAGAAACCCTCCATTCAATTAGGGAACATATTTGGTGCGGTTATTCCGTTGTCTACTGCTTTTCTGGCAATATTTTGCGATATTTTGATGATTTCGCCATTCCTCTGATTCTTCTGCTATTTATTTCTCCTGTTCTTATTCTTCCTGTTCCTAATGTCGATGCGTATCCAATAATTGGCAGCCGCGAGCACGCGACGAAAATGAGGGTAACCCTATTAGAATGTGACCCTTCGAGAATCGAGACACCTAATAGGTGTACATGAGAGTAAGCCATGTTAACCCTGTGTTCGCAACTCAGACCAAGTGGAATTTCCGTGAACATTGGTTTCCACGCAGCTGCATATTAGCTATTCCGTGTCTTTTGCCAGCAAAAGGCGGTAAAAGGTAATACCGTTTCCAGCGGATGAAATTTCTCAGAAGGCTAATATATTTCGATGTGTTCTGTTTGAAACTGTAAGGTTCTTGCCAAGCAGCAGGCTTTTGTTTTAAAACTTACCTACTCTTGAAATAACTAGAGTTTTTGAGGAAGCTCATGCTAAACATCCGAGACCACTGAATGCGGGGCCCATTTCTAATTGAAATTTTAGTGCATCAAAATCTAAATCTGTCCTTATTGAAAAATCTGACCCAATCTTAATTAGTGAACATATTCTAGTTCAATACTTCAATACCCAATGACAAACAGCGCCTCTGAATTGTATGCAAACGACGAAAAACGCATTCCAGATTGCACTTGTTGGTATGCAAAACGGGAAAAGTGTTTTAAAAATGCTGCCGATCAGTGCTGTAAACTTTGCCTTATCATTTCTTCGGAGATTGGCACCAATTTTCATTAACAACTGTTTTCCCACATGCATTTCCAAGCATTTACTATTGTGAAACTTAGCTCTAAGAACATATATCCGGTTTCTCATCTGACTGTCATGCTCTGCAACGTGCAAGTCGCCGTTCAGCTAATAGAAAGCGAAAGGCATGGCATAGTGGCCATTCATAAAAATGCGGAAAAACCTTGTTGCATAAGAATTACTTGAGAGTGAAACATAAAGTGTGAATAAATCTAGGAATCTTTCAGTTGGTCTGTGTTGGACGGGTTCCTAAAGTGGCTATTACGCAAACGCTTCTATACATAGAAACCCTTTTGTGACCCGTCTGAATCTTTTTTGGATGAACTAGCATTCTAAGGTTGGCATATTTGCTGATGAATATGTAA